ACCAAGTATAATTTCAATTATTTTAATTTTGGTAGCTTTGCTTTATGGCATGGGATATTGTTTATATTAATTTATGTGCTTTATGCATATTAAAAGAATCAGTATTCTGTTGTTGGGTTAAGTATACTATAAATATCTCTTATATGCTTTTCTTAGAAAGTGTTAAATTCTCCTATATCTTTGCTGTTTTCTGCCTAGTTGTACTATGAATTGTTAATTCATAAAATCTAATGCTTTAATCCATCTCTTCTTCCCTCTCATGTCACCCAACAAAATAAATTTTTGATAGATGGACAGACAGATCACAACAATATAAAACTTATCCATAACCAACAGGAGTATAAAACTGGATCAGAGTTAATAATGTGATAGTAGCCTCATGCCCTACACTGTCTGTGCCTCTCTTGATTGCCACACTCTTGCATGTACTTACATGGATTCCTTCACAGTTCTTGCCGTGGATGACTTACCAGGATGGACTCTGGTTTCTTACTAGAATTTCTGGTATTCACTTGTTCCTCCATCTGATCATCACCTGTTGATCTAAGATGATATAATTTTCTTTCCCTAACAGCAATGCCCCCAAAATGGCCTAACTGCTGTAGTTTTCTGGTGGCATCCATGGAAAAAGGGGGATAGGGTTAAAACACTAGGCTCTGGTTTTGCTTGTTGATCCTTTTGTTGGATTGACATATTCTTAAGTCATAAAGAAAACCTGTTGTTCTTGCACACTGCACACTAAGCCTCCTTCCTCCAGTCCTAATGCATCTCTGTAAGTTTTATAAATATTACCCTTCCAAAAAAATCACAAACATCATTTCTAGGCCTAAGGAGATAGAGCTCATTGGTAGAGTGCTTCCCTAGCATGCAGGTGACCTTGGGTTCAATCCTTGTACCACACTAGTAAATGCACAGATGCAAGTAGGGGATAATTGTGACAAAGTTACAAGTTTCAGCTATAGAAAGAAATTAATCAATTTTGTGACTGAAGAGTAGAAAATAAAAACCTTATATAGTTGGGAGTCAAAAGTTATACCTAAAACCCTGGGAGGTACATCAGAGTGGGCATCAGTTATCTTTGTCTTTCAGTATTACTCCTCTTCATCAAGAAAAATACCCTGGTTTAATTCTAATATTTTTCATGCACCTTAACTTAAATTAACAATACGTTTTCCATCCTCTATGATGCAATTCTATTCATGATTTATTCAACATTCACAGAAACTTTCCCAAGAAATCTTCCAGAAAAATGAAGTGATTGTTCTAGTTTCTGGACCTCAACTCAACATGCCTGTCAGGCGCTCTGTGTCATTGTATGGGGCAAACACATATGAACTAGCTCAATATGTGCACAGACAGGACAGGTTGCACAATTCTTCTAAAAATCAGGACTAAATTCAGTTATTAAAAGTGAACTGGGAACCTTATGAACTTCCAAATTTCCAGAAGGCTATGTTGGCCTGTGCCTCTTATTGTTTGGTTGTCACTTTGGGAGTTCACAAAATTGTGAATAACCCCTCATTGTAGGACTGACATAATAAACATTCTTAGGTCCCTGTATTATATATGGAAACTAGGTATTAATTTCTCCCCCTGCTTACATATTGTGAGTGGTCATGAAAGACTGAGTCTGAAGAACATCTCAGTTGACCTTTGATGACTCTGAAAAGCTTCCTCCAGTGATAACTCTCTCATTATCTTTCCTTACCCTGACATATCATTCCTGTAAAAGATGTGGTAAGAAATCTGTCTATTTTTAGGGTTCAAGTAATAAAGAGTCTCACTTTGGTTATGAAAATTATTCAGGTTAATCTCCATTCTTTGTTCAGAGCTGTTATGGTTGATGGAATTTCCCTTAATTTCTTTGTAGGCCCCTGAAAAGCTTATGCACTCTAACTGTATATTTTTATACCTGTATTAGTGATTTGGGCCAAAGAAAA